AAAAAAAAAAAAAAGAATGTAATCTACTTTCACTTATATGTAGCACTGTTTATAGGAATAACAAAACGGGTGTGTCTATTTTTGTGCATTCAGAAGGCGTTCAGTGTGGATAAAGACAAGACCACAGGGTTGTTATTTATTCAATTTAGAGAATGGGTATTTAGAAATAATGGTTTTCACTACAAAAGAAGATAATCTCAATTTGACTGCTCTTCTGTGGTAAAATCATTTTGCAAATGGTAACTCTAAGGAATAAGGATGGATTTTTGAGAGGACAACGAACGTATCACTTTATTGTTTTTATAATATAAAGGCAGAATAAGAAGCCCATCTTCTTGGATGGCTCCTGTGGGTCAAAGGAGTAGGGTGCCGGCCCCATATGCCAGAGATGGCAGGTTCACCCAGCCCCAGCCAAAAATTGCAAAAAAAAGAAAAAAGAAACCCTTCTTTATTCCAAGGCATAGCAAATTTAGCCATTTAAATAGGAATAAAAGCACAGATGTCCATGAAAATAAGCATCATCAAATAACTTAAGAACTTTGAATCTTTGAAGGTTACGAACATAAATGACAGCCTGAACAGTAACCCCTGCTCTGTGGAACGTACGCAGGTTGTTTCTGCAGTGTTCTCTTGGATAAAGTACATCCTGCCGCCAGAGCCCTCAACGTAATGTATTTGGAACTCTCTGCTATTCAGAAGCCTACTGAGATGTGCTTGCACTATTCAACTGCTCTGTGCCATTAGTCACAGTCCCAGGTAAAACCGACGTGGGAGTTTCTAGACGCCACAGTCTGCTTTTCCTGATAAATGAAACCTACATTCCACCCAACCCCTTTGCACTTCTTTGCCACTGTGCAACATTTTAGTGGATAAACTAAAAATAATCCACATTTATTAATCTGGTTAACACTTTCTTTGAACATATTCCTCCTTTTGACTTGAGTGAACAATGATGTTAATGAAAATGAACATTTAAATCACAATCTAAATTTTCTTAACGAATACCAATATCTCTCAGGAGAAAGGCCAATTTCCATTGCAAATTATATGATGCTATTCAGAACAGCCTCAGCCCTTCTCTCTGGCCTCCTCACTTGTGCTTTCCTGAGGTACAGGTCACAGCCAGCACAGCCCCCCTCCTGTGGACCCTCCAGGGATCTGGGCTCCATTCAGCTCCTGCATCCTTGAACATTGTCCTTCCTCTGAAATGTCCTTTCCCACTTCATTAAAGATTCCTTTTGGATCCCAATCAATGCCCCCAGTGCCCACTCATTCCTGGTCTCTCTCAAAATCCGATCGAAGGTCATTGCTCTACTTTGAAGTCTCAATAATTGCTAATGCTTACACAGTCTCTTTTACTGTGAGTTTTGGGTTTCTTGGTTTTCTCTACCCTTTGACTAAACTTCAGTAGGCCAGATCTGGTCTTTCGTCTGTCTTCCTAGGGTTTACCTTAGAACCAAAGAACAAAGGTGGAATTGGTTGTTGACAGTTTACTTTTGGTGGCCTTGTACCCCTAAATTTGTCTTTTATTAAAGTGTGCTAATTTGTGAGAAACAAGGCTTACTTGAAAACACAGAATTAACTCTGTTATTGAAAGATAAAATTTGACATAAAAAGTGACATAATTTGACTAGAGTTGCATAAATATAAGGTAAAAATGACAGAACCCTCCTTTGCTTTTTTTAAACTTGTTTGAGAATTACCAACTTTTAATTTTATATGTTATTTCTCTCGTTTCTAGTTCTCTTTCTCATTATTCACACACTCAAAGCAAGAGAGATGCAAATATCCGAGCCACCGTGAAGATCTGCAACATTAAAGGGAAATGTACCCTAATGTGGAGTGTATTCTATCCTCTTTCAATCCTACAAAAAATCTGGGCCTCTAAATATCACAAAACAGGAGATTAGAAATATTAGGAGGCTGCTGGGCATAGGTGGATGTTCAGATCAATTCTGTGACTTTTTAAGTTTTCTCTTCTGCTCTTTATAATTTTTCTAAGATGTCTATATGGTACTTCTGTGATAATAATTGTGTGTTAAATGCTTGTACATGCCTGCATATATATTTAGTTTATGAGATATTGTGGATAAGGGCCGACTGTAAAGTATAGAGAGTTGCCTGATTGCTAAACAATCTTGTTAGTAATATTTTTGTTTAATGTATGAAGAAAAATGATGACATTAATCAGAAACTCAGTGCACTGAATTCCAAAGTACTAGAATGACATACTTACACAAATGGTCTTTGAAAACATTCCATGACACGTAGCAAGAAAACCAGCCGTCAGATGGATGCAGCTTTGTGGTGGTCGTCACATAGAGTTAGGAGGAACTTAAAGTTGACATGGGTAACATTTAGTATAGCAGTACTTTATTACGCTGCCCATTGAGTTCTGAATCCTGCCCATGACGTTTTGCAGCTTTCTGTTTTAAAACTGCCTGCTTCTCTGACATCACCCCCAAGTTCTCCCTCCCAGCCCTCCACACTCACAGTGCCCAACCCCAAGGCACCTAACAAGACGCTATGAATGTGCACCCGGGCAGGGCGTTAGGGTCACCAGAAAGCAGGGAAGGGAAAGGGACAGAGAGAACCCCGTCGTAGCCCCCACCAGAGTGGCACGCGCACAGGCGGCCGGCGCAGCGTCCTGCTGCCGCGCGTCGAGTGGGAACACCGAGCGGATCTTCCGATAAGATAAAAGGAAACCTATGGTTGCCCACAGCGTCGACCCGCGCGAGCCCCAAATACAAGTGACTCAAGAATTTCCCAGTGTGTTGTCTCCGTCTCCGCTCAGAACTCCGAGAGCCAACGCTAAGGGGCACCAGAGACTCAGCCTGCAGCGACCGGCCCGGGCAGCCCGGCGCGCCCGCCGCTGCGGAAGTCGGGGCCCAGAGGCGCCCCCCGCGGCGGGGCGAGGCGGGCGGTCGCGGGGCGCGGCGGGCGCGGGTGGGGGCTGGGTGGGTGTCAGGACAGCTCGAGGTGTTCCGGTTCGGAGGAGAGTCCTTAGAGACTCCGCCGCCGAACGCGGAGGAGAGGTCGAGGCAGTGACCCAGGTAGCACTGTTCTTCGGGATTTTTCCTAAGACCTCGGAATCGTTTACTTTCCAATATGCAAACATGGACCGAAATGGACAGTAATACGGACCCGGGTGTAGACACACACGTGCGCCCCACCCCAGCCCCTTATTACCCCAGGGTGTAATAAAACCACATGACGACAACTTAACGTGTGGCTGATGTGCAGTTGTCTAGGGCTCCCGAGAGACATTCGAAGGGACCAGATGTCACCTCGTCTTTCCTCTAGCCAATTCGTGCTTCCTCGCTGACCTCCAGCCTCCCCGCTGGAAGCACTCACTCCTTACTCAAGCCGACTAGACCCAAACCCTCGCCCGGGTGGAGACCTCTGACCGGCGCCCGGAACCAGGACTTTTCCAGAGACCCGGAGCGTGGGAGACGCCGGAGCCCTCAGCGTCCTCGGCCGTGCCGTCTGCGTTCTGACTTTTTTCAGTGATCAAAGAAAACAACCGAGTGGGCAGGGTGCTCGGGAAGGAAAGAGCGAAAGGCGCGGGGCTCGGGGCCAGGCGGGGGCCACCTGCGCCGCCGGCCCGCCGCCTCCGGCCCCGCGCGTCCTCGCCGCCGCCTCCCGCGCGGAGCCCGGCGCCAATGCGCCAGGAGGGAGCGATCTCGGCGCGGGAGGAGATGACGCAAAAGCCAGCGCTCCCCCCAAAAAAGTGCTTCTCCAGGACGAAGATGGCGGCAACTTAGCCCGGGGACTGAAGATGACTGTGGCTCTCCGGAGGCCCAGCCCAGGCGATTCGGCCCGCAGGTCGGGGGGAGGCGGCGTCAGCAGTCGGAGCCCCGGCGGCGGCGCCCGCGGGCAGACCTGCGGCAGCGGCGGCGGCAGCAGTTAGAGCGCGGGGTGGGGGGTGGGGGGGAGGGACAGCCCCGCCGGCGGTGGCAGCCCAGGCTCCGGACTCCGGGAGAGCGAGCGAGAAGTAGGAGCGGGAGGCGGAGGAGAAGGAAAAGGAGAAGGAAAGGAAGGAGGAGGAAGAGGAGGAGAAGAAGAGGAGGAGGGGAGGAGGAGGGGAGGCGCTCTGGTCGCCGTCAGTGGGCAGCGGAGACGCGGCATGCCCCCGGCGGGGGAGAGCGGGCTGTCCTCAGCAGGGCCATGGGGACCCGCGCGCTGACAATGCCCGGGTGAGAGGAGCAGCGCCAGCCACCCCGCCGCCTCCACCATCACCTCCCGCACTCAGCCTCGCCGCTGGCCACCCGCTCCAGCCTCAGCTCCTCCGCCTGCCTCTCTCTCCCTCTCTCTCCCTCTCTCTCTCTCCCTCTCTCTCTGCATTATTGTTTCCCACTCTACAGGGGTTGGGGTCGGCTGATGATTAGGTCGGAAGCAAGTCAGATCTTCCTTCAAAGCCTGGTAATATTTATGTAGGCAAAAGAAAGAGAGAGAGAGAGAGGGAGAGAGAGAGAGGGAGAGGGTGAGAGAGAGAAAGAGAGAAGAAACGGGAGGAGGGGATAAGGAAATTAAACCTTTAAGTCAATGCATATTGTGGTGACACTGGCACAGGAGCCCTCACGGTGGAGTCGGCCAGGGCTGTGCGTTCCCAAAATATGACCAGGGGTGCTTGGATGTGTCGGCAGTATGACGACGGCTTAAAAATCTGGTTGGCAGCACCCCGGGAGAACGAGAAACCGTTCATCGATTCAGAGAGGGCTCAGAAATGGCGACTGTCTCTGGCATCTCTCTTGTTTTTCACAGTCCTGCTCTCTGATCACTTGTGGTTCTGCGCTGAGGCCAAACTGACCCGCACCCGGGACAAGGAACAGCAGCGCCAGCAGCAGCAGCAGCAGCAGCAGCAGCAGCAGCAGCGACAGCGGCAGCAGCAGCAGCAGCAGCAGCAGCGGCCGCGGCAGCAGGAGCCCTCCTGGCCCGCGCTCCTGGCGAGCATGGGGGAGTCCTCGCCCGCCGCCCAGGCACACAGACTCCTCTCCGCCTCCTCGTCCCCCACCCTGCCCCCCTCCCCGGGAGACGGCGGCGGTGGCGGCGGCAAGGGCAGCCGAGGCAAAAACAACCGGAGCAAGGCTCTTTTTCTAGGAAACTCTGCCAGACCTGTGTGGCGCCTGGAGACTTGTTACCCCCAGGGCGCCTCCTCGGGCCAGTGCTTCACCGTGGAGAATGCGGACGCCGTGTGCGCCAGGAACTGGAGTCGGGGGGTGGCCGCTGCGGGGGAGGCGCGGGAGGTGAGGAGCGAGCACCCAGCTCCTCTCTGGAACTTGTCGGATTTTTACCTTTCGTTTTGTAATTCCTACACACTTTGGGAGTTGTTCTCCGGGCTGTCCAGCCCCAACACTTTGAACTGTAGTTTGGATGTGGTGCTCAAGGAGGGCGGGGAGATGGCCACTTGCAGGCAGTGCGTTGAGGCTTACCAGGACTATGACCACCATGCGCAGGAGAAATACGAAGAGTTTGAAAGTGTGCTCCATAAATATTTACAGTCCCAGGAGTATTCGGTGAAATCGTGTCCTGAAGACTGCAAGGTAGGAACAGTGGACTTTTACGCCCTTCCTGTTCTTTTCTCTTTCCGCTTGCTCTGCTGGGGTATCTTCTTGTGTTTATTTTTTTTTTTTCTCTGTTTGCCTCTGGTTTTGTTACTTTAATAGTTGATTTCATGGTTATAAGAGCTTGACTTGCTGTTTGGGTGAGAGACACTTTGGTGGATTACTGGTGGACTGACGCCTTCATCTGGGAATCCCTGAAGATCAGGGAAGTCCTGGCCTTTTGAGATAATAAAGCTGGTGCTTCTACTGCTTCTTACACCTGTGCTGTTAGCTCAAACGCTGTTACATCTTTTCAAAAATGCGATATGACTAAGACTCGCCAGAAGAATGGCGATGGGACTGAATAGTGATGCCCGCGGGTAAAGTCAGAAGAGTCAGGGAAAGGTGTTTCTGGTTTGGCATGTGGGTCTTGCACACAGGAAGTCTCTGGTAGTGACATCATGGAGTTGGTTGACTAAAGGAATAAGAAAAAGTGTTTGCAGTTTATGTAGGAAAAAAATTATGCTTGTTCAGGGTAGTTCTGGTTGTTTGGAGAGTCTGGGGGCCTACTCGAGCCTATGTGCTTTTAAGTTTTCTGTTTTGTTTGGGGAACTTGTGTAATTATTGATCTGAGATTCACTATGAGTGGAAGGTTTTAATGAGGTGTCTAGTGACTGGTTAGCAACGCTGGATTATTTATCAGACACATTATGTAATTAGGTTGGATTTTTCAGTGTGCCTGGCGTGTTACATGGCAAATGTTTGATGCTGTAAATTAAAATTTGCTGAAACATTTAATAGCTCATATTATATTTAAGCTATCTATATTGAATGTAATAAAAACTATAACTCTTGCTTTGGGAAAAGAGAAATCTGTGCAAGTTTCTTAAGAATGAGTCAATACAGCCATGTGCGCAGATCCTCCTGGAGTGCCACCACTGTCCGTGGTGCTGAAACGAGGTTTACCCAAGAGATGGATTGAAAATGAGGACACACTGCAGTGACCTTTTAGTAGGAACCATATAATGATAAAACCTCTCTAAGCCTTAATGTTTTGTCCCAAAGGTAATCTCTTAAACAAAAAAATAAACTAGCGTTGCTTTTAACAAGAACTAACACACCACATTCTCTGTCTTCCATTTTCTTTCCTATCCCCAGAACCCCACACACAGACAGAGCCACTGCCCCTCTTTGCTTTGAGTGCTTTGTACTGAGAAGTGCAGTCAAGGGTAATAAAGATTAAGGATTTTTGACATTCTGACCAGACAGCTGGACTAAGCAGTGCCTATTTTAAATGCACATAGTTCAAGAGCCATATTTTACTTTAGTTTGACTAGTTCAGTTTTTGACAATCAAACTAAACTCAGATTGACCTTGTTTCATCATCATTATTTAAGACCAGAAACATAGATCTATGAAATAGTAAATATGAGTCTATACAATTACTTTAGAATGTTATTTGACTTAGTTAAATGTATATTAAACTTTACTACCTTGTTTTTTTTTAAAAACATACCACTGTAACTCATGCCTGGGAATTAATGGTAGAAATTAATAATAAATTACTAGTATATTTATTGCATAGTTATTGATTTTGACAAAATGTGTGGACTGAAATTGTAAAGAACAGTAAATGCTGTGTCTGCTTGTTCTACTACTAATGAAAGTGTTGAGACTTTTCTGCATATTGATGTTTAAGAGTGGCAGCTTGGACTAATAGAATTTGCCTACTTCCCCCAAGGTGAGCCCTCATTTCTAATAATTTCAAGTTCTACTCAGTATTTTAAAAATAGCCAGTCTTGTCAGTAGAATGCAGCATATTTTCAAATGAGCATGCAAAAGGTATCTTTGTTGCCATGTCCAAATAAATATATTAAAAGTTACCTTTCTCCTTAACCTGAATTAATTTTCAACTTTATGTTTACATTATCATAGCTAGGTATAAGGCGTAGTGTAAGTTACACTCATTTATAATGTTACTGAATGCTTTGGGGTTACATGTTTGTGTAAAGTAGGAGTTGTTAACAGAATACAAAAAAGTAGGAGTTGTTAACTGTATAAACATCTTAACTTCTTAAGAAAAATCCTTCCTCACACTGAAAAGTAAACACGGACACTTAAGTTTGTCATCACCGCAGCAGGGAACTAATTACCTGTGATGCGGATATTTCTTGGTTGTAGAATTTTTGCTGTTTGTCAGTTTGAAACATTTATTTCATAATGGCTGTTTTCAGAAATTACAGTTGCAAATTTAAAATGCTTGAGTTCTTAGTTTAAGACTCACAAATCAATGTAGAAATGTACTTGAGGCGTAGTGTCTTAGTTTATTGTATTTTTTTTTTATTCTGAAAAAGCCACAAACATACTCACATACAAACTATATTACACGGACTAAAATGTTATTTGGCTTTAAAGATTGTGTCTGACGTTTCTGAACACTTTTATTTATTTCAGATATTCTTGAAGTTATGAAATTACTATTATTAGAACTCTTGTTCAAGTTATAAATTATATGCATTTTTAACATTTTTAAAGGTATCTACAAAGTCATAGGTTACATTAAAAGTAAATGCATTATATTTATGTAATTGGTAATACATGAAAAAATTAATTTAGTAGTTTAAAATATATTTAATGAAATTTTAGATAGAAAGCAAATTGTTAGGATTTATATTTTAGAAAAAATATATTTATAATATTAACTTTATCATATCCCCATATAATTAAATTATTAATACAGTGATTAATACATTTTAGAGTTTATTATTGTCTAGTAGTACATTCTCCCTTCATTAAGGAGTTGCCAAATTCTAAATATATATAAATTGATTAAATATAACTCTGATTAAAATTGTTTAAACAACTTTTTGACCAATTATTCAAAAGAAATCTTTTAAAATAGATCTAATAGAATTAAATGACTGACGTGAATTCTCAGCAACTGGAGATCAAATGTAGCGTGGAATTACTTTGATAAACCTTTGTATTGTAACACATCAGCAATCATCTGCACCAGAGAAGACTTTTTACATATAATATTCTGAGAAATAGCTGAGTTAATTTTCTTAAAAAGTAAATATATGTATTCACCTGGAAAATAAGTTGTGGTTAAAGAATAAGACTGTTGTATATATCATTTATACTGTAGAATTTTATTTGCCATATTACATAAATAGAGTAGAAAATATTGTGGCATTAATCTTTCCCTGTAGTTTATAGTATTATTTAAAAATATTTAATAAGAATATGACAAATCTGTCAAAATCTTCAAGTTGGCACCAATACTAAAAAACAAAATATTCTAAGCTACAAAATTTCCAATGATTTAAATAAAGATTTTCTCGTACATGGTGCCACTTCTTAGTTCCTGAATATTCTTCAGAATATTATTAAAATAAGCTATTTAGGGAATATAAATTTTTTTATGTTACAACTAAAATTTTTTTCATTACTGATGGCATTATTTACTATACTCTCAATTAGTCTGTGAAAGCCAGGTTTGAGATTAGATTCTAACATAAATCATTGTACCATCTATACCTTAGTTCTTTCAGTAGTGATGCTAATATTTATACTTTTAAGAATGTATGAATTCTCTTATTTTTATTTTCATAATCTTATATTAAAGAAGATTATGTTGTGTATTTTTACTTAACAGATACTGACCCAAAGTTTACTTTACAGATATTGGCATGGATAACAATTGTGATACCTGGAAGTTTCTGTCTTCTCTGTAGGCACCAGGCGCAAATACTACCCAGTTTTAGAACATAGAATTTGGTTTTTATAATGTGCAATTTGAAAAAAAAATTCTTAATTTTTTTATTTATTTTACTTTCATGCATTATAGATTCAAAGGGAAGTATACTTTTAAAAGAAATATGTCATATTTAACTGAAATTTTGAACCTTATGTATTATTTTGCTATTAAGTGCTATTGTAATGTTACATCACTGTTGAGAAATGCAGTAAATGGATGTTTTCTTATACTCCACCACTTCATTTTCAAATTATTTTTCTTTTCTTTTTTTTTGCAGTTTTTGGCTGGGTTTGAACCCACCACCTTCAGCATTTGGGGCCAGCACCCTACTCTTTGAGCCACAGGCACCACCTCAAATTACTTTTATAGTTGAATTGCTTTTCTACTAAATCAAAAAGGCTGATCATACAGATGACTACTTTAGAAAAAATTTTTATTGATACATAGTCAATATACATATTTTGACTACTTTAACCATTAATAAGGCTATTTATAAGATCAAAAAGAGTATCGCAATTTTAAAATAATTTTTGCTTTTCATATTTTTGTGCCATGTACAATTATTGGCTTGTAATCTGTTTTATTTTTATAGAGAAACACCTAAAATTATATCTTATTATTACATCCCTATTGTCTTACGTGCCAATGAATACATATTTTTACTTTGGACTTGTAACTAGGTCAAATTAGTAGCTGTACGTGGCATAATCACAAAGTCTGAGTAATTGCTGTTATATATTGTTTTTTAAAAAGTTTGAATAATTGTTCTTTGATATTGGTTTTAATCACTTCCTAGATGACTATTTGCATAAGTAAGATGAATTGAAGTTTGAAAGAAAGGAAGTCAAGCAGGCTGTCAGTCTCATCCCTCCCCAGATATAAATCACTATTTATGAAGGTAATTTTTTCTTGCTGGGTTAAATATATAAGAACAAATGCACAGACAACTATTTAAAACAAAGGACTTTGATTTGAATTATCTGAACTATTGCTTTTATTTTATTTCTCAATTTCTTTTTCAACTTTGTCTTCTGTGTCAATCTCACAATGGTCAAGCATCAGATATTTTGTTGTTTATATTAATATATATCATAAAGATATTTCATCAACAGTAGTGAACATTAACTCTAGATTAGCAGTCTTTAGGAGAACAATAGGCTATCCTGGGGAGCTTTAAATCACTGAAGCCTGGGTATCTCCAACCCCAAGAGATTCTGATGTTACTGTTCTGCGGGTGACA